ACAGAATGCTGATGAGTCCAACACTAGGACGAAACGGCTATGTCCAGCACTTCCATGTTTCTACTGGTGGTCTAACAATGATCTGTTCATGATTTCAATGAAACTCGACAATCTTCACAACTCTATGATGAAAAACAAGTTCATCTCTGTTGAAACACTCTACACATATAAAAGCTTACAGATTATTTTTGGGATTTTGTATTTTTCCATGCTGTACTTATCATATATGGTCTACTTTACTGTATCAAAATATTTGATGATTACTAATAAACATGCCATGAACAACATCTGGAACTCAAAACAATTGTTAACAAATACAAAAAGCAGAATTTTCAATACAGATTTCAAGACAGTTCTATGGTGTATGGGGCGGAAATTTGGAAAACTACCATTCCATTATCCAGAAGATACAAGTACTGATTAACAATTTTCTACGCAAAATACTTCAGATTCAGTGGCCAGACATCATCAGCGAGAACCTACTGTGGGAAAAAACAAAAACTAGATTCCAGCGGAGGAGGAAATCAGGAAGGAGCGCTGGCAATGGGTAGGACAGATGGTGCGCAAAACACCCGACTGCGGTGGTGTTTTGTTCTCTGAGCTGGATGTTTTGGTTGTGAAGCTTTCATTGTTCCCTTCTGAACAACATCATCAGCACAAACTTCAGATAGAAGTAAAGCATTGGAATTTCTCCACATTTGACCTGTAGCTTGTTCTGCTAACCTCGATCTTGATTGCTTGCTGTTGACCTTAAACCTGTCGTTGTTTGCTCCACAACCGATATATCCAGCTGAGGGAACCAAACACCACCACAATCATCCACCTGAGCTACAAATCTTCTCCATCTCAACACCAAACTGCGTCACAAGACAAGCCCTCAGTTGGAACCCTTCAGGGTCTAAGCAAAAGAGGAAGGCCAAGGAACACATTTCTGTCTCTACTTCTTGGCGTCATGTGTTCCTTGCCCTTCCTCTTTTCCTTTGACCCTGAAGGGTTCCAACTGAGGGCTTGTCTTGTGACACAGTTGGGTGTTTTTCGCAACATGTGCCCTATCCACTCCTAGCGCTCCTTTCTGATCTCCTCCTCCGCTGGAATGTTGTTTGTTTTTTTCAAATTGATAACAACTTGTCCATTAATATCATAAAAAATATTTTGTCGATTCCCCTATCTTATTCAAATAAGAATGAATTTATTATTATTTTTTAAAAACAAAATTAAAGTTGACAAATATCCTTAAGAATTTAAATAATTTTTTTAACATTTTTTATAAGTATTCATCTGAATTAATTAAATATAACAAATGAACTAGAAATGAATTATCTAGTAAAATTTGTCATCAGTGTTTAAAACATTTCAAAGCTTTTATGAACAAAAAACAACAACAAAACATGGAAAAGAGGAAGACCCAAAAAATACATTACGATGAGAGATGGGGACAAACATGAGAAGAATGAACAACAAATGGACAGGACTAGAAAGGAAGGCCCAGGACAGAGTAGGTTGGTCGTCGACCTATGCTCCATTGAGGAGTAACAGGCGTAGGTAAGTAAGCTGGGCTATTTTTTAAATCTAATATTGATATTTACAGTTAGACTCAAATCGAATAACTTTTGTGTTAATACAAGGAATTAGGTACAGTCAGTCAGTCAGTAACAACGTAGAACTTCGTACGTGCGTGCATCAGTTCAAGTTGTGCAGTAGGTGCACATCTAGCAAAACAAGTCGCATATAGAACGAAACGTGCCCAGTGTTAGTTGCATACTGACTACGGTAAAAACAAAAGTGTAACACTGTTCAGCATGTACATATAACAATAACTGCTGATCAATTTGAGTTCCAAAAATAATAATAATAATAAGACATGATTAACATTCATTAACATGAAAGATTTTAAAATCAATATCAAACTACTTAATTGTGATGATGGGATTGTTTTAGATTTGAAATAAAAATAACTAGACATCATACAAGTTTTACAGGCTTCTCTCTCTCTTGTTGTATGAAAATTATCCAAGTTTCTTTCACAAAAGCAACAAAATGTTTCCGATAATGCGAAATTGATTTGTTCGTGTACGTGTGTGTGAGTATGTGGGTGCATTCAAAAGTAATCAGTTATAGTACAATCCACCAGTAATAAAACATGTTGACGAGGAAACAATGATAACAGTGAAAAATTATAAAACGTTAGTATTATACACATATATAAGCGTTATGCTCGTCAATTGATATGCTTGAAACTATTACGAGTTCACCTTAGTCGGTAAACGAGAGCGAAGACAAATGATCCAGTGACACGATAGGCTGCTATAATCCAAGCGTCCCAAAGCCCCAACTAAGTAGCGGAAGAAGTCTTGACAAGACCTAGAAAATGTATTTATTCTACAAGCACCCAGAAAGTATGAGGTTGATAAGCACACAAATCGAGTTTATTTATACACCATAGAAACGTCCTTGGGAGAGCCACAGAAATAGCGTACTAAAACAAAACATCAACCAATGACAGCCAAGGATTTTCCGGGTGAGAAATGTAATCTCAAGGTGAACTGATCAGCCCATGCTCGAAAACATAAAGTCCAAAATTAGAACCTTTATAAAGTGAGTTCTGGGGATCTAACGTCCCAAAAATAAGCTATGAAAAAGTATCTCTCTCTCTCTGTGTAAAACAATATCACTGTGATTTTTTATTGATGTTCTGTATTCACGTGTGTGTGTGTGTGTGCAATGAAAAAAACTATGAAAAATGATCATTATTGTAAATCAATAAAACAATCGGGAAAAAAGTACTCATTTAGCAAGAATTTCAATTTGAATTCAATTTTGTCAATGGAGAAAAGTTATTGACAGTGAGATAGAGATTTCTTAATATGATTGGTTCACTGGTACACCAACTGATATTCAAACTGTTTGTGCTAATTTATTGACAATAGGTAGTGGGGAAATCTGAAGAGAACTAGCAGAGGTGGACAGTGATTGGCAGTGGAATCCAGGACATGGGTTTCGTCCTGTTTTGGACTTGTCGGCTATATACACCTGCATCCCGGATTGAACGTAAACTCTGAGATCTAGGCATATACAGCTGATGAGGTCCGAATACAACGAAATGCACGTCCTGGATTCTACTGCTAGCTGTTATTCATTTCTTCGAATAATGCTTGTAACCTAAAGGCAATAATCGAGGTGATATGCATAGAATGCATTGATGCTAAATGAGATTGATCAATTGTAGTCCTCCTAAACGTCAATGTGGAGATTCAAAAATTACCAATACAAATGAAATCGATCTCAGAACCACTTCAAATTCAACTTCGTCAAAACGAAAGTAAAAAGGCATAAAAGCATTGAAATACATGGAATTCAGCAAATAAATCTTCGCATTTTTTCTTAAATTGCTGAAAGATGAGCTGACTGAAATTTTAAACGTAATCGACCACAATTAAGTAAGTAAGTACGTAAGTAAGTTTCATAAATCACTCAATTGAAATGATATATGGCATGCAGTGTTTTTGACAAAGATTAACAAAACAAACCAATAGTATCAATCTCATACTCGTTAACCTACAATGATTATTCACAGTCAGTCAGTCAGGTACAACGTACAACTTCGTAAGTGCGTATATCAATTCAAGCTGCCATACCATGGATACCACAGAGATGAAATTGCCAATGCAAAATCCCATACTGGTAGAAGTAGTAGAAGTGTATAAGCAGTAATCGGAAAGATAAGGGTCTGAAGATATTATTCAAGGAATATAATCCAGAGAAAGATGAAGGTCATTAGAAATTCAGAGAAGACGAGGAATGGATGCACCTACATCATAGTTAACTCTTTTTTTCGAAGTAAAATGTGAGAAGTTCGAATTAAATTCAACTAATAAGCCTTGTAAATTGATACTAACTCTCTTTACCGTATTATGATCAACCTTTGAAGGTGACTGTCAGAAGAGACTAGCTACATTACTTTGAAGACTCTATAAGAAATATGAACATGAGTACACAAGAAAACGTTTACTCAAAATTCAACAATACCATGAACTTTAGATCTGGATTCTACCAATGATGTAGCTAGAATATCCTAACCAATGCAATCTGAGACTGTGTTTAAGAGAAAAGATCAGGTATCATTATTACTTGAAAAAAATATGGTATTGTAATTCATGACTTATTCATAGTATGACGATGTGAAAAACACTAGCCGTCTAATTTATGACAAGTTTATAAGTCATAGACTCAAAAAGGAAAGTCACATTGTATATAATAAGTTAGGATGAGTTTAGTTCCGAAGCATTGATCGTGTATCATCATTAGACAACCGAGTAAACAATGCTGTTGTTAGAAAACGGATCCTAGGTAAGGATGACAAGCCAATATATGAAGTATTGAAATTGCATCAGTTGAAGTGGTTGGAACATGTAGTACAAATAGCCAACCACCGACTGCCTCGACGAGCAGTGCTTTGTGGTGCAGGAGTAGGTTGAAAGAAAGCTAGGGGTGGCCAAACCAAAACATGATACAAATTCTTGAAGTCACTGACAAGTGCATTGAGTCATGTTGGCAAGTGTAGACTGCTAGGTTGGGGTCCGCGAGATGATAGTAATCGATGGTTAGAGACCCTGAACGATATGGCTCAAAATCGTTTGCAATGGCACAGGTGCATGCATTCTTTGTGTTCTCTCAAATCCTAATATTCATAATTTCTCATCACCTCTATCTTTCTCTTGTTAAAGTTATTTCACTAGATGCTACTTATTGAATAATATCATCGAACCCTAATCTCTCCGATTACTGGTAATAAATAATTTTACCACCTCTACTACTATGGGATTTGAATCGACAATTGCATCTCTGTGAAAATGTGGTACGCAACTTGGACACTGACGTACGTACGTACGTACGAAGTTCTACGTTGCAGATGATTCATTGGTTGCATCAAGTATAGTGGTGGTCACATAATTGTTTTTTTTAAAAAAAAGTTATATAATACAAGAGAACACTCCACTTACAGCTTGTACATCAGATTGAATTGATTGGAATAATGCACGATTCTCATCTGATATTATACTCATCTCTGGTGCTTCATCATTCTCTGAATCAAACAAAGTAGCAGCATTGTTATCTTTGTTGTTGTTGTTGATGTTCGAGGTAGACACAGCATCACTGTGATCATCATCACCAGATAAATTTGGCGGTATTTTTGAAGTAGGCTTTTTTCCAGTCGACGATTCACGTAGTCTTCTTTTATTGACTACAACAGTACTAGTTGAATTGTCGTCGTCATCATCATCATCATTGTCCTCTCCGTCATCATCATCATCATCAGCGTCTGCTTCATACACATTATCGTCAGTACTTTCTTCTTCATCATCTGAAATAATTTGACGTTTAAATGATTTACGTTTATTTCGATAATAATAAGATTTTTTATATTTATTTAAATGACGTCTTTGCCTAACACCACTACTGATTCGATGATTTACACCAAATTTATTATTATTATTCATTGAAATTGGTAATGTTTGTTGTTGTTGTTGTCGTCGTAATTGATGATTTAATTGAGGTAAGTTATGATTATTGTTGTTGGAATGATTCAATTTGAACCATTTATCATTGTGATTATTCAATTTGGATAGACGATGTTTTAGTGAATTCCGTGCTGGTGGTTTACAAGTAGAAGAGTTCAGTTTGCGTGAATTCGACAAGTGACATGATTGATTAGATTTATGACGACGTTTAACTATAAAAAAAAATTAAAAAAAGAAGAGGTGCAGTGATATTGTTAGAATATTCACCAAATATCCTACGAAGAAACATTTTGTAAGTGTAAATTGTATTGCTCGATTCCAGGTTGGTCAATATTACGGTCGTTCTAGCTGTCAATGCCACGTACTTCAATGTTGTTTCCTATTGTTCGTCTTAACTGTCAATGTCACAGACTTCGATGCTGTTTCCTATTCGACCTAAATGTAAAAATACGCATTATATGAAATGTTTTATGACCCGGATCCTCAATCCGAGATCCTTATCTTCTTCTGGATTCGGACCTCGCACTTTCTGGAAGCTTGTAGAATAGAGGTTCTACTTCACACCAAGTTTTCTTTTTTTATTCAATGTGGGTTGAGACACTCGGATTACAGTGGCATGTCGTGTCGCCGGATCCTCACTCTCGTTTACTGACTAAGGTAAAATCGTAGTAATTCAAAGCAGATCAAATGACATGTTTACGTGCATGCGTAACAGATATGGTAAATTGATAGAGAATAATGAAAAAAGGAATATCAATTATTGATTTGCCATTCACGCTTGGTATTAACTATAGATATCTTCATAGTTGTAATCAAGAACTGATGATCTTAGCTAGACCATTCATTCACAACCATCATATACTTACTGGTGACCAGCTTTAAGATGAATTCGTGGAGTTCTAGTGATAAGTCATGACCAGTGGAGTTCCATCAGTGTAGAGTAGGAAGGAGACAGCTATACCACCGCATGCAACACACGAAGGTTGTGCAACATCACTAGATGCCGGATCAACGGTCAAGCAGTTAAAAGTTAGCGCGAGAAACCGGAGGTCCTGGGTTCGATTCCCACATGCGGAAATTGTGGGCACACACCGCTACGGAGTCCCATACTAAGACAAAACGGCCGTCCAGTGTTTCCAGGATTGGTAGTCAGCTAAGATTAGTTTGAGAATTTCAACTATGAGAAAAATATTTTCTCCACAAATCCCATTCATGAATTTATACTAACAAAGTCACTGTGTAGATAAAAAAGTATTGAGTAGATGCTTATGCTTCGATTTCACTTACCTCTTCAACTTATTTCTTAATGCAATACATGAACTACTAATCTTAAGGTGATGAAGGTGCCAGAGGACGAGGGAGTCGTTAGTGATTTTTTAACTGTAAACCTTAAACGATCTAACAAAAATGTTCAGTAAATCCCCCAGAATGGCAGTCGTAGTAGTCTTTTACAACTTGTTAGAAGATATTCCTGTTATATTAAAAACTGAACGAGCAAATATTCATCCTAGGGTCCGAACTAGGTTGATTTAAGAAATATTCAGTTAACAACAACATAGAACTTCGTACGTACGTACGTACATCAGTGTTCAAGTTGCCATACCACATTAGCACATAGAGATGGAACTGTCAATTAAAATCCTATAGTATTAGGGCGAGTAAAAGTATTAACAGTAATCGAGAAGATTAGGGTTCGAAGACATTATTCAAGAAGTAAAATACAGTGAAATCAATTTAAAAAGAGAAAGTCAGAGGTGATGAGGAATTCAGAAGATTAACATTTAGGAGAACACAAACAATGAGTGCACCTGTGCCATTGCAAACGGTTTTGAGCTATGTCGTTCAGGGTCTCTAACCATCGATTACTATCATCTCGCGGACCACAACCTAGCAGTCTACACTTGCCAACATGTCTCAATCCAGTTGTCAGTGACTTTATGGATTTGTGCCGTGTTTTGGTTTGACCGCCCCTAGCTTTCGTCCAACCTATTCCTACATCCCAAAGCATAGCTCGACGAGGGAGTCGGTGGTTAGGGATACGCAACACAGGTCCCAACCACCTCAACTGATGCAATTTAAATACTTCATCCATTGATCTGACACCCTTACCTAGGACCCGTTTCCTAAGAAATATTAGGGAGAATAGGGAAAATCTCACAAAATCTGAGCATTTCTAACAAGAGCACTTAAAATATAAGTATATATAGTGTGTGAAGAGAAAAACACATGATTGATTACCTTGATCCCGATTTAATTTTCCTGAGGTGACACGAACATCTTGACGATTGAATAAACCAGTAGAAGTTCCACTTCTAGTAGAATGAATTGATTTTATTAATTCACCAGGTGAGCTAGTCTTATTTTGTTTAACATTATTATCATGATCAATAGTCACAGTGTTTTGACATGATAAAGTACGCTTAAAGTATTTTCTAATTTTTGTTTCATTTGTAAGCAATTTGTTCGATGTTATACATGATGAAGTAGTGCTTTCATCACATAAAATATCTGTATCATCATTATCATGCATAGATTTTCTATTTAATGATTCAAAAGATCTATCTTGCATTGGCAGTTTTGATCGATCACATGAACGTAGTAGACCTTGCCAAGCTAAACTTGCACATAGAGATGAACGTCGTAGACGTGAAGCTGTAAAGTTATGATGATAATAATAATAATAATAATAATAATAATAAGCATTATAAAAAAAAAGATATTTTGAGAGACAACTAAAAATCAGATATTTGTGATGATATATATATATTGCTGTAAATATTATTTCCAGTTAGAAACAAAGTATTACAACTAAAGAAATGCTACGCCTTGCCCTTAACGAACAATGACATGGTATGAATCGAGGATAAACGCATTTTCTGTTTATCCTACTATGGTATTCTACTTTGTAAAATCAAATAAACGATGCTTTAGAAAAAAATAACTACTCCCTGATTTGTTATAAAAGTGTTTTTCACAAAAATGAAGCAACTAAACGTACACCAATGACTAGAATCGAGTGGATTGAATACTACAACTAGTGAGTAGGTATGAAATTTAATGGATCGGTGACAGATATTCATTGACAAAAGAATACAACTTTTACTTTCAATTAATGACTTGACGAATTGTAGGTAGATTGGCTTTTGCCAACTTTAAGTCATTTATGGCGTAGGCGAGATATCTGTTTGTTACCCAAAGGTCGAGTGTACTGTGCGAAACACGGTCGGTAAGAGTAGAAGATATTCGTAGGTTACTAGTATTCAGTCACAGATATCTTAGAAGCATTGCTCGTGTATCATGGGACACCCGAGTAAGCAATGCTGCCATTAGAAAGCGAGTACTAGGTAAGGATGGCAAATCAATTGATGAAGTAATGAAACTTCATCAGTTGAGGTGGTTGGGACATGTGTTTTAAACGCCCAAACACCGACTGCCTCGACGAGCTATGTTTTGTGGTATAGCAGTAGGTTGGAAGAAAGCCACGGGTGGCTAAACAAAAACATGGCACAAATCCATGAAATCACTGACAACTGGACTGAGTCATGTTGGTAGATGTAGACAACCTGGTTGGGGTCCGCGAGATGAAAGTCACCGATGGTTAGAGACCTTGAATGACATGGCTCAGAATCGTTTGCAATGGTGCAGGTGCATTCATTCTTCGTATTTTCTTGAATCCTAATCTTCTGAATACGTCAACACCTCTATCTTTGTCTCTCTAAACTTATCTCAGTGAATTATACTTCTTGAATATTATCTTCAAATTATAATCTTCTCCATTAGCAGTAATTTTTCTACTATCTCTACCACTGGGATTTGGATTGAAAATTGCATCTCTGTGCTAATATAGTATGGCAACACGAACTGATGTACTTAAATACGAAGTTCTACGTTGTAACTGACTGACTGAGATAGATGTTTTACGACAAATAACTTTTATTCTACATGCACACAAGTACAATAACAACAATTCTCAACTAAAGTATAAAAATAATAAAGTCTTGAAAACCACATTGAACTTTATTATTAACGACTTTGCTTAGTTAACTTTCAAATATATCCTAATAATGTAGCCACATTGCTTTTGTTTTCAAGTGATTGGTGCTGTCATTCACTATTTATGACTTACATACCGAGTAATTACACCTTGAAATACCAATATTACTGAATTATGATAAGTGAAGTTGATAATCAATAAAATGTGGAAATAGTTATGAACTGAGTGGTAATCAAAAAGGTTAGGAATCGAAGATATAATTCGAGAAGTATGAACCAGTGAGATAATTAGAATTTAGGAGAAGACAAACAATGGATGCACCTAAGTCATTGCAAACGATTTTGAGTCATGTCATTCAAAGTCTCTAACCAGCAGCCATGACTGACTGTCTCGTGAACTCCAAACAGATGGTCTACACCTATTAACATAGCTAAGATCAATTTTCAATGACTTCATGAATATGAGCCATATTTTGGTTTGCCCACCACTAGACTTCTTCTATTCTACTCGTACAGACAAAACTTATGTCGCAACAACCTCGACTAATGAAGATTAACTACTTCATCAACTGATTTGCCATCTTTACCCTTTTCAGAATACCAGCAATGCCCAACCGATATATGAGCACTGCTCCTAAAACACCCATCATCGAATACTAGTAATCCTCAGCAGTAAATTGTATTCAAAAACAGATTCGAATTGTGTTGGGTAGTCATTCATTTAATTTAATATCTTAGTGTATATCTCAACCACGTTCTAATTCGATAATGTTGAGTGTAATCTTAAATTGTCATTAAACTGGGTATATCACTGGAAGCCTTGCAGCTCAGTAAACTCGTTATTTGGTTAGCAGACGGATATCTCACCTACACCATAAGTGACACATGTTGGCAAAAACCAGTCAAACTTTCTGTATCCATGCCGAGGTTTTGTCAGACACCAGGCTATCAGCAATGATGAGACTCCCAAGATAAGTGAAGTAAGTGGTCAACATAATCAACTGTTTCACTTCTTCTTATCACTAGTTCAGCTGCCAACGTGAACCAATCCTGAGGAAAAAATTTGCATTCAGAGGGAAAGGATCGAATCCTAAACATGGCTGCATTGTTGCTTAAGTTAATCAGGAGACTGTATTTTATCAGCGTCTTCACCAAGTAGAACTGTCATCTGCATATTTTAAGTTATTAAGTGAATCTCTCGGTAAAAGTTCAACTCTTGAAAAGTCAGATGATAAAAGTGTCATCTCTAAAAGTATGTCAATGATGAAGTTAAATAAGGATGAAGAAAATGGACAACCCTGATGAATAGAGGTGGTTCTTTATTTGACATGGTGAGGTTAAATAAATCACTGTGCTCGGATCCTGTATACACGTTTTTGAAACGCAGCATACATCGATGGCACTAAATTTCAGAGACATAGTTAAGGAAGCCTGTTTTCTTAGTTGGTACAAGGTCCGAACATTAAAATTTCCAAAATAAAGTTTTGAGTGTGGTTTCAGAAGACCAGAAGTAACATTTCGTGTACTCTAATCGTTAGCATTGGCGGCGCCAAGTGATAGAGGTATGGTAAAACGGTTAGTTGTGGAAAAAAGAGAGTAATTACAAGGTGGAGTAAGATACGACAGTGAGCAAGTTGATCTTGTGTGTTGTTAAGGGTATGAGGACTGAGGTTGCTTCCTGGATGCCCACGCCGTAGAAGGGTATTTTCTCGAGGAACCTAGAAAGGAAGCTGTGTTAGCATTGGTCTTGGCGACCTAGGAGCGTGACTGCAGAGCCAAACGGATAACTGCTTGAGGTCGATTGTGCAATTGTTCCAATTATAACCACATAATCCGTATCAGCTGTATCAGTCTTATAAACAATCCTAATGGTTAGCATGATTTTTGTGTGCCCCAGTTAACAGCTAGATTAACAATGGTCACTTCAGGTTGTAAACGGAGGCACGTCAGTTGAAAAGGTTGTTAAAAATAATTAAGTAATAATACTGAGCCAATTAAGGAATTTACTATTGAGGTACAGAAAACTAATTTATAAGAACCAAAATTTGATAAGTACCATACAGATTATATTTAATTAGTTAAGCATAAATATTGATACAAAGAAGCACCTAAATATTTATATAACAAATTATTGAACACACGACTAGCCCGGGTTATTACCCGGACGCTCAAGTCGAAGCAGGTAGTTTTCTTAACGGGCACTTCCTGACCATTTGACTCAAGAGTCTGATAAACAAAGCAGTGACGTACCGTCACGAGTTGTAGTCAAACGGTAACCGGTCAACAATAATAGGTTTGTACGTCATTAGCCAATAAGCACCACCAGTTTGGAATCAGGATTTTCCAACCCACCTAGGTGAATCCCCAGTATTCACGAACCCGGTTGAAGCTCTTTCTATACATTAGTTTTTAATTCTCTCGATTTCGTACACACACCCTTTACGATAAGGCAGTGAGTGGGACCCCCGGCAATTGTTATATATGCACGGCTTTATGAAAGCATTTGGAGAGCGGACCTGCTCCACTGTCGGCTTTACCAGGGCATCTGAGGGTAAAGCCACTCAGGTCTGCCCGGGGTTCGAACCACAGACCTTTCGTGTGTGAGGTGAGTGTGACAGCCACTACACCACTGCTTGAATAGCTTATAGACTTAAAGGACATCTGATTACATAAAAAATGTGACTAAGCAATATGAGGAACTATCTACATCATAAACAAATCGATGAACACCATGATACAGAAAACATAATTTAAGCCAAGAATAAACAAAGGATTTAAGCTAAAAAAAGATATTTACTTCTTTTACGAGGACTTTCAACGTTTGTTTCATTTTCAGTAGACATTTGACTCATAGTATTATTTTCTGATTGAAGATGAACTGATATAGAACTGGTTGATTTTCTATTTGATTTACAAGTCCAATCGGTTAGTGATTTTTGAATTAAACGTTTTGACGATTTGCATACAGTTGTTGCAACACTATCATCAATTCGACTGTCTTCATTAAAGGGAATAGATTGTTTGGTTTCAGATTTTGACATAATTGAAAAACTCGATCTAGACGGTTGAAGGATGTCATTGTGTTCTTTTACAGATTCTGTTGGTGATTGTTGAAAAGAAAATGATAATGGAGCTGTTAAATAAGCACCACTGACATTGGCGGCTTTTTTCATCCAATCTATTTCATGTTGAGTTAACTGATCACACACTTGAATGGATCGTAATCTTGGATCTATGTCCAAGCATTCTGTACTGGATTGTGAACAAATAGGACAAGTCCACATACCTGAAATAGTTTGATAAACATAAAATCATTTAATAAAAATAGTTAATAGAGGTTTGCTCATGATAGATAACTAAGCTAATATCTACTAGTATTTTTCAATTAGAGTTATGGAGATTAGTGTTTGTTGCATATTGAAATAATCAATCAATTATTGTTATACTGTGGTGCGCGCTACTTATAAGTAGTATATGACGCGAGTGAAAACGTAATGTCTGACAGCAGAAGATGGGGGAAGATCAAGAAAGGAAGAGTGGGAACACAATGGAATTTGTATGAAACGCATGAATAAGTGAAATGTCAGACAATCGATTGATGATTGATTGAAGATTTGCAAATTAACCGTTTACGATATGGTTTTCCTATTTTACTGATTAACTCTGTAATTTGCGATAAATACGACTCGGTTACCCTCCTTCACTACAATACCACCATTAGACACCTGGAAGCACTGGACGGCCGTTTCATTCTGGACCTTCGGCGTTACGCGCAAACGCCTGGGTTGGAATCCTGCAAGGTGCAGGAGTCGTGGATGAGCACTGCTAATAAGTCCCATAACAGGATGAAACGGCCGACCAGTGCTTCCAGGTTTTTAGTGGTGATCTAAGAATGATTGATTAACGATTTGAATGTGTATCCATTCGTATCCTTTAAAAAGAAGAAAACTACATGACATCTAGGTGATTACATAATTACACCCTACAGTAAGTGACGAAACATGCATGCATATAAAAAGAAAGGGTTTTATCAACTATTAAACTTCTAGCTGATAACTTCATAGTAAATATCACCCAACCATGTAGTATTCTATGAGTATTTAACTTTCAAGTAAAAATAATAACATATTAAGTTTACCGTGGATAGGCTTACCTTCCGGTGGTTCCAGCATATTCGGTTCAACACATTTAAGATGAAATCCTCGATCACAAACATCACACAATAATAAATCCGATTGAGGATCCTCTTTATCAGATAAGGGAGGATTTTGATCTTCTGAATTCGACTGACACAAACAACATCTTTTACAGTCAACACATAGCCAGCGAATGGATGTAATACGTTTGACTAGATCAGGTGGCATTTTAAGACAAGTTGGATGACCTAAATAGGATCACATATATTTTTAAAGATAAAAATTGAATAACAATGTACATTAGCAATATACATCAATTATATAGATAGATAGGGATAAATATGAATTAGATTGTGAAATCCAGTCTTCTGATATACACCGAAATAGCATCGACCAATTCATGGCAATTAGCATCGAATAGATTCTTCTACAAAGAATACTCATCAAGTTAAGAACTAAGTTGAGCACAGTAGAACCATGTCAATAAAATGATACGGGCATACATTACTTTATTTGTTTATTTATGTCTCTGTTTAGAAAACATGTGTGAGAAAAAAAGCTGAACCAATATATTACTCGATCAGGTCTTGGATAGCCCTAGTTAGCAAAAACAATTTGGTCTTTTCATCACTAGACAAATAAATAGTATTGGTTGCTTGGAGGAAATAAACATTGAAATACGAAACAGAATAGTCACAATGATAACAAAAAAAGAGGTCACAACATCCAAACAACGAGCCGTTAATCGATAAAAAATTTCAACTTAATTCATACCCGACTGTCCACATTCCCAACAGGCAATCATTTCTTCTGCAGTGTTAGTCTTATTGTTCAATTCCGACGTACCCAAACATAAACCACATATTGGAATTACTTTGGATGGCCTCCGTAGCCTCTGGAAAAAAAAAGAGGAATTTACGAGTATATCATAGAGAGGAAAATACAGTGAATAATCGATGAGATGGTGAAATGAAATGAACAATATGGTTTTTAGTGAAATAACTGCTCTGATTTATAAACTAACCTAACAACAAAATTAGTGGTTGATATACTTACTACCGATTACGCTATATTGGTCCTACCACAAAAATTACATGGGAAGAGGTTTCATAACGAAAGACATAACTGAAAATGCATAATTTTCAAAGTCAAATGAAATCAGAACATAACACTTATCCGAGCGAACGAGTGAGTGAGTCTCTCTCACGAAAAACTAGAAAACTTTCGAAAGGTATAACATCATGTTATTGGAATCGATTAATGATATTAAATTTTGCATAAACAAAATAACCTCATATCGACATCAGAAAACTATTCACCGATGCAATAATATGAGGCTACGATTTTGACGAGATTACGATGTTATTTACTATATTTGACATTATTACCCAAGTAGAAAATCAATACACAAAACTCACTCTGTTTAAAAGTCCCCGAGATTTACCAGGAACAGATGATAATTTGGCTTCAGCTCCATGAGATGATTCAGAAAGCGTTCCTGAAGCAGTTCTTTGTCTGCGAGTTCTCTGTCCAGAACTTTGACAAACACCAGTATATCCAGTAGGACTTAAATTAGTTAGGGTATTTACATTATCCTGACTTCGCCGAAGAGGTTCATTGTCTATTCCAGGTGAATATATGATATGAGCAGGAGAAAGAGATTCTATGTTGTTTGAATGACTTTGCTCCAATTCTGTACACTTGGAATCACCACTATATTGTGGAGAAAAACGGGATCGTCTCCTGGTATTCATCTTTTCATCATTGGCTTAAAATTATCTGTACGTTAAAAACAATCAATAAATATGTTGCTAGTGGGGCACTCTGCAAAGCATATAAAGAACTGATACAAGTGATTGGTAAAATATCGTGATAAGTATAAATCGAAATCAACTAGGAGGACCAACACATAGATTTCTCTCCTAACCTAATCAAGTACCCCCTTTACGCTTACATGTATTATACGAAATCGATTTTATTGTTCGTATCTCAGGTAGTTCGAGGTATGAAGCACAAACTGGAATTGAGGAATACTTAAAATAAATGTTAGTATGGTAGATGAATCAATCGGCCAAACAATGACCTCGGTCACTAATGCATACAAAACCCTAAGATTTTTAGGGAAAAGCTTACAACCCCAAAGAAACTACCTTGAAACTGTTGTTATTTAAAATTACAATTAAATGCATCGGAAAAAAGCAAATGCTATTCCCTGAAAGAAAGCAATATCTTCGATGGGCAGTTAAGATAATAATTTAGTTATTGGATCAGCCACACTTCAGTTGCGCATGATTTCCAGTCAACCTAAGTGTAAAGTTGATACAAACCTTCAATTCGATGAAGTTGAAAAGGACATAGTCAATCTAAGGCAAGGAACAGCGGCAGGAGCTGATGTAGAAACCCCTAAGATTTTTAAGGATGACGGTCCACATTGACTGAAATCTTAGCACAATTTGGGAACTGGAAATAATTCCATCTGATTGATTAATTACCCCTATCTACGAGAAAGAACGAAAGTCTTATTGTGTCAAACACAGAGGAATCAGTTTAACTAACATAGTGTCTAGGATATTAGCTTCAATAATACTTTAACACCTGACTAAAGCTCGTAAAGAGCAGACTAGAGAAAACCAGGCTGGTTTCAGACCTTCACGTGGCTGTTAAAACCAGATATTCACACTTCGACAGGTCTTATGACATAGACACACATTCAGACGTTCAACAACGGTTGTACTCCTTGACCTTAAGTCGGCGTTTGACTCTGTTGATCGTGAGGTTTTGTGGCAGTTTCTGTCACTGAAAGGTTTACCAAAGTAAACTAACCTAGTACAGGCTCTCTACTCGAACACTAATAGTCAAATGAGAGCAATTGACGAAACATCATCGGAATCGACTACCTCGAGTGTTCATCAAGGTTGTCCACTTCCCGATTGTTATATATATCTCCATCATTGATATGCCTTTAGAGACGATACTGTCATCGTCTGTCTCAGGAGTTAGACTTTTATTGGGACATTCACTTGTCGACTTAGGATATGCAGACGAAGCTGAAAAAGTGCAGTCTTTTGAACACCTTGAGCATGTTTGGGATGCAATCCTCTTCCTCTGAACGCTTCTTCAGGACTGGCTTGCGTGGGCGCCTGAACTAGTGGTAGGGAGTGAAGCTGTTGAGCCTGTTGACCACTTCACTTATCTTGGGGGTCTCAATAGTGCTTATGGCTTGGTTTGTGACGAAATCTCAGCACGGATACATAAAATTCAACTGGCTTTTGTCAACTTGCGTCACTAATGTCGTAGACGAGATATCAGTTTGCTAACTAAAGGACAAGTTTACTGATCAGTAGTTTGCTCTTTCCTAATATACGGGTGGGAAACATGGCCAATAAGAATAGAGGACACTTGCAGGCTACTAGTATTTACCAACGTTTATTAATAGCTTTTCATGTTTTCATGATTTATCCAGTTTACACACAATTTAAGACCACATTAAATGTTAACTAATTAGAAGTTGGTGGAGACATATACACTAAGACAATAAAATTCAGTAACTACCTAAAAAAGTTGGAACAGTTTCCAAGTACTATTTAATGCTTGTTCCAAGTATACTAACTGTAAACGTTTTACGTTTAATTTCAACATTTCAGCCACAAAACATCAATAATACTGGGCTATACGGTTAAAATACTGTCCATACGTTGTTACTAACAAACTGGTGGAAATGATCCATGCGACTAAACAATTAATTGGTAATGTACAAAACTGTTTTCACTAAAACTGCCTACAAGATTAGTGAGTGTATTAACAAAATGTATTTTTAAGCTTATGAATATAAACAGATTGTCGTAGCCTCTCCATAAACCAGACCAAATAAGAACGAAATCACTGACTCGAAAAATTCATTCTATTAGTTCAGAGCTTCTGAACAGGTATTACAAGTTTGGAGATTTATCAGGAGTAATTATGATAAAAACCTTCCCATGTTGTACATAAAATTTAAAAAGACTTAGACATGGACTGACAAATCATCCTTTGAATAGCTATAAAAAATCCTAAACGAATAACGATTTGAGGGGCTAGATACAACAAGATTCTCCTAGAAAAGACAGCTATAATCTTAAAACAACGGGTGTAAGTGGAATTTATTAGTTTATATACAAGTGGACGAACACACTAGGAACGACACTGTGAAAAGACTACAGAAGATCAAAATTGATAACACTAAAACAAAAGGAACTAATTACTATTGGGTACGTAGCCTGTAAGTAAATAAAAAAATAGTAAAACATTTAAAACCCGCCGGTGCTTGTAATAGGCGCCAGGTTAAGGCAGGGATATTGTATGTCTGTTGATTCAAACTTTGCAAAAATAGACTGTTTTGTCTGAAAAGTTGCACATAATCACATCGTCCTGTTAAAAATATTCTATGATTTCTTAATTTTATTTCGATAAACCTATTCCATAATAGATGTGCTTGTACGTGTGTTCTCTGGACTAATAGAGATATGACGACAAATATGTCCCAAAAAAGTGTGTCTTTCTGAGTCTCTAGCACTGCTTTCTTCTCACTACTCTCACTAGAAAGCCTCTAGCTAAAGGCGAATGGTCAAGCGACCGTACGTGAACATGATTATGCAATCTCAGCTGAGAATCACTTAAGAGAGCTCAAATTGCATTCGCCTCAACATATCAACAATTATTCAAATGTACTTTTTCATTACTTGCTTAAATCTTCCGTTTTAATCTAAACTTAAATAGCTTTTTCAGAAGTTTTGGGTGGTGGAATTAACAACAACTGTATCCGTGACGTCCATAAAAGCATGATGTACTGATGGCCTTGAATGAATGAATCGGAATTCTAAAAACTTCTGTTAGTTCGAACAGTGGTCTGCAAGATCCAGACCTAGAATATCAAGCTTCAAACGTAAAACTGATAGCTCCGAACGATAAAAGGCAGAGCTGTAGAGCCTATGAATTACCACTCCACCCTTTTCAAATCAAATGAGAAACAGGTGAACAGTATACCAATCCTCTTCAGAGTCAAGGACGTCCAGCGTGTATCAGTCAGCGGCACGTCGTGAACTGGTTCGTGAGGCAGTGTTTGCACTTTCTTTCGTTAATATATTCTAACTTGCACAATTCTTCGTTTACATAACACTGGCTGCATACCGTCATTTCAGTAGCTACACTGATTGCTTACTACAATCCACATTAAATATTAACTGCGAAGTCTGGTTCCGACTTTAGTTAGTGGTCACATCATTCCTATCTAACTCGAGTAGACCAAGGTCATTGAAACAGCCCAATGACAGCAGTTATATACACACCTACAATAGCGAGGGCTTGGGTAAATTTGGTAACATGTAAATAGGAATCTATAGCACAGTATTGACAGATCATCTTAACCTACAAGTCGACTAGAGAAAATGAAGGCTACTGAACAGCAGCACCAAATTGTGTGTACACGAATCATCTTATTCTGGTCTCTGGTAATGGTCATATATCGCTGAGCATATAACGGAACAGTGCTGTCAAGTTAAACTTCATAAGCACTCTAAAATCATCGCGTGTCACTAGCACTAAAGTACATTGCATCAAGATTACAATATTGTGTCTGAATTCCACCCAAATTCCTCGATAAAACGATAAAAATAACGGAAAAAGCGAATTTCCCTCCCAGAGCATTAGGAGTGATGATCAGCTAATCCGACTAAATCGCTCTCATAAATATTAGAATGAAACACACAAAGTTTCAGCGAAACAAATGGTCCAAAACCTAGTGGAAAAATTATATAAGGCCACCTGAATTCTTTGTGTAAAGAAAGATTTGACAAAAAACAAAGTCAAAAACATGATGGATCTGGGAATAATCGAGCGATTAAACAGCCTATTGCCCTAAAATGGATAGCTTCTTGATGGGCACATTGAAAAGTATGACTGTAATTTAAAAAACCATCTTGGTCTAAGAAAATAACCATATCATCATGACTACACAATAGAGCAGGGACTGGTATTATCATGCCCCGCGGATTACACGAATTCTTGCATTTATACTCCGAAGATATGATATAATGTATAATATGATGTAAGAATATGTCTAAGGCAACTTGATTTCAAGTCAAGACAGCGAATTCTGTCCCCGGAATCTGGATCTTCCTCTTCAATCACATTATAAAAATTTCATTGACTCTACCCTGGAGATCAGCCTGTTATGAAATTTGCCTTGAGCCCGGTGACAAAAGCTCCTGCTTCAATGATGTAAACTTTTTTCAGTTCCTGGTTAACTTTACCGTTTTGATGGTTTGAGAATAGACTCTTTTTATAAAAATGATTAGAAATGTAAGTGAAATAAATCTTTTTTTAATTTCTCTATATCGCATTCTGCCAAACTTTGTTTGTGTAATGGCTGTATTTAAAAGTCAAGCAGAGGTTAATTTAGACGCACTTATTTCATATGCTCATGCATGAAGAGAGACATGAGGATTAAAAGCCTTTAAGTGAAGCCAAACGGACCTCCGTTTCATGAGATATGAGTAACGGTATACATTCAGACAAAAACAAACTGTACATATGGTCAGTAAAGTAAGAGTTCGCTTAAGCATGTGAGAAAATGTCGGTTTCTGAGGAGAGCGTTAAACAAGTATGCCATTCAAATTAACAGCAAGTAGTGAAAAAATGAACCACTTCGGATACTGCTACAATTGATTATAACAATAAATGCTGCTATTTAACCAATCATGTTTTCTTCGTAAAAGTG